TATGTCCTGGAAGGAAGGAACCTCTCAAATGTGTAAATTCATTTGTTCTGCTATTGATAGAGTTCGAGGCCAGCTTGGTCTACAGAGCAAGTTCAAGACCAAAAGTACTACACAGAGAAGAAATCCTGTCTCAACCAGAAAAACAACAAACAACAAAACAAAACCTTTTTCCTTTTGATACCAAATTAAAAGAAAATTCCTTGAAATTTCTGTAGATATTTTCTCAAAAGAAAAACCCTCTGTCACAGGGAATTCAAGTTTCTATGACCGTAAGTGAGGTGTGATTGCCACATAGTGTGTTAGTTTGTTTTTATGTTGGCTGCGCCTAGTTTCCCTGCAACAGCTGGGTTGTAACATAGACCATGGGGTCATAGCTTAAAATATCCTGGAGACTTGGGGGTAAAGTTGATTGTTTTACCTTAAATGTCTCCAGTAAGGCCATCTGGTATACGTATAGTATAAATGCTGAGGAAGCTGAGGCAGAAGGATCTCAAGTTTCAGAGCAGCCTGAGTTACCCAGCAAGTGTGAGGCCAGTCAGGACCTTATCTGAGACTATCTCAATAAAGAAGCACAAAATGATGCTGATAACCAATCAGGTCCAACCGGCTACTGGAACTGAGCGGACTTTAGAAGTCATGCATTATTAGTTTATCTCAGATTGGCAGAGGTTAAGTTACTTCTTTTCTAAAATCACACGTTCAGTGGACAGAGAAAGTTCTAGAAGCCTGTTCATCGGTACAGCATTTCTCCCAACTACATCGTTTCCTTTACCTCACTTAGGCTGATGCCGGTGTTAGTCAGCTTTCTGTAAGCTGGCAGCGTAGAAAATTCATCAGAACTTCTATAATTTTTATCCCATGTCTCATTCAAAACTTATACTGTGCAGCGTTATCAATATGTTAGACATTTAGACTTTATTTCAGAGATTTTGAATTGCATTCTCTTTTCCATTATTCCCCCTCACTTTTCAAAAAGCATATGGCCGGTCACTGTGCTAGTCACCTTTCCAAGGCTGAGACAAAAGAGTGAGACAGCGGTCCCTTGGTCTGGAAGCCCGTGGCAAAACTTCATGGTGGGATCATATGATAGAGCATAGCTGCTCACTGTGCCATTGCCAGGAAACAGAGAAAGAAGGAGCTGCCCCCCCCCCCAGCCTCTTCAAGGGCACACCCCTTCCTCACAGTGACCTAACTTCCTTCTCGTCAGTCCTGTGTCCTAAAGGTCTACAACCTCCCCAAAGCCCCATGAGTTGAGGGCCACGAGCCTTTAAGGGACAGAGCAGCCATCATGAGAGATTTTATCCTCACTTCTTTCCTCCTAAAATCATTTCAATCCTTTCTCTTTCAACCAAGTTTTCCAGCTAAAGATGGTTAAGGGAGGTAAGGATGATTGGAAGAGCTTAAAAAACATGCGTTTAACCCTGGAGTCCATAGGTAGCAGTGTGTACGGAAGGCAGAAGGGAGGTCTACAGATCCGCTGTACTTGTGTGGCTTGGTGAGGCAGATGTGGAATAGCTGTAGCTTTTGTATAATTTGAAAGGAAGTCCATGACCCCAAGCATATTTGAAATTATAGATGCTTCTGGGGAGAGACTATTCGGATGTATAACAGTGGAGACTGACCCAGATCCCCCAATCTGTCAGGCCTTGCTGGCTTTAAGTGAGGGCTCTGTGCCGGCTCACATCAGCCCATTCAAGTTTTACCCTCTCTGCCACTCAGAGGCGATAAAAATTCATCAGACTTACAGAATGGTTGAACTCAGATGGTGATAAAATCCCAGTATAATTCTCTCCAAAGAATGTTCTGATTAATAGAAACTGCAGAGGAACTAATTTTATGAAAATAGCAAATGGGATTGTTTCAGTCGAAGCGAGCTGAGAGAGTTGGTGCTGACGCCAAGCAGGAAGATACAAACAGCCCCATTGTGTGGCGCTGACAGCTCCAATCCTGCTGCTTATTTATTAAATGTCTTTCCGCTGTAAATTATTAAGCTTGGATTTGGGGAGATGTGGGAGCTGACAGAATAAGACAATAGAACAGAAAGCAGACCTGGATCCCTTCCTTCAGTCTTCTTGCAAGCATTGTGTTCTGTGAAAAGCCTTGCCCCCCTCCTCGCCCACCCACCAGGGTTGGAGAAGGAGGATGATTCTCTCTTCCGAGAGCTCAGACATGGGTGAGACAAGCAACTTGCTTTTGATTTAGGAATTATTTGCTAGTCCTTACAAATCGGAACTGTTCTCAGAGAAAATTCAACCTGTCGGCTCAACAACTGGGTGGCAGATATTTTGTCTCTTCTCTAAAGTGTTGTTCTTACCCAGACAAAGGAGAGCTTGGCCAGCCTTAACAAAAGGAAACACCACACTAAATATTTTAGGACACAGAGCAGCCGTATATAGTTCACATGCCTTAGCTGGTAGTTGGGAAGGCCTTTTTCCTATTAGGAGGGAGCGCCAAGGTTTATTTTTTAAAGCCAAAGAGTAGGACAAAGAAAGGAAGTTGAATTCTGACTGTGTTTGTCTCCATTTGAGAAGCCTGGCATTCTGGTGAAGAGGGGAGTACTGGATTTACATGAATCTTAGGTGCAGCTTTTACTCTCTGCCTTCTGGACCACACAATGGAGGGGTGTGGCTATGCTTCTTGGCCAGATACCACCTACTGACCCCTCCAGGGCTAGCAATAGCACGGGCGTCAGTTGGCTGCCTGAGCACTATCGCTCATCCCTTATGGCATTCACTTCTTGTTACTGTGAACTTTGTGCTGTTTTGGAAAGTGAGATTAATGAATGGACAAAAATCACAAAACTCTCATTTTAGTAGGCAGAGCCAGATAATCAACAAATAAACCCACAGTTGAAGTCTTTAAGTGACTTGAAGATACAAAGTAGAGGGAAGAGACAATGAGCAATGAAGGCTCTTGGTGGATGGCCACCAACGAAGACTCCTCTGAGGAAGCAGTAACCTGAAGAAAGTGAGCAGATAAGCTACCATGGGAAGACCTCAGGGCTAAACAAGCATCAGAGTCCTGTAGAGGGGAGGGTGATGGGGGTTCCTCTTTGCTGGACTTCACCAGGAAGCATAAACATTTTTCTGAATGGTACGGGAGACTGGAGCAGTTTTGAGGAGGCAAATAATATGATCTGACTATCCCACGCAACATCCAGAATGACTTGTGGTTACTACAGCCCCTGCTAGGAAGGACTCTTTCCAGAACACCAAGCCCCGCACCAGGTTTTAATGATTCCTCCTGTCCTGAGGGAGAAGGCTCAATCTTACATCTCACCCTTGGGACAGGCAGAGTTTCTTTGTAGGATTAGGATTAAATGGAGGTTGATATCTCTTTGCTCTAAAAATTAGCAAGAGGACATAAACCCATCTGGTGGACCTGGAGAGATGATTCAACTCTTGCTGCTCTTCTGGAGGTCCTGAGCTCTGTTCTCAGCACACATATTGGCTGGCTGGGGAGGCTCATGGATGTCTGGAACTCTGACCATTGTTTCTGTCTTTGGCCGCCACTGGCACGCACACAGAGACACAGGCCCATACATATAGATGCAAATTTAAAAAATAATAACAATAAAACAGACAGCAAGCAAAAGAATATGAATCTATGAGTCCCAGCCCTCCCCATAGCTGTGTTTGCAGTCCAGGCATCTTGTCTGGGCAACAGATATTAACTGGCTGTCCAGAGGAGGAGTCCATGAGTTCTGCTCTTCTCAACTGCTGTGAATCATGTGTGTAGAGGGCTGAAGGAGAGACACAGCACCAAGCCCCCGCTGGGAGGACAAGCAGAAAACCCAGTCTGAGCCGGGCGGTGGTGGCGCACGCCTTTAATCCCAGCACTCGGGAGGCAGAGGCAGGCGGATCTCTGGGAGTTCGAGGCCAGCCTGGTCTACAAGAGCTAGTTCCGGGACAGGCACCAAAGCTACAGAGAAACCCTGTCTCTAAAAACAAAAACAAA